TCTGTAAGAGAAGGCCATGTGTATGGATGGGGCAAATCCCCCTTTGTGGATTTAAAAAAAAAACACTCAAAAACCTCTCCTCTCTGAGCAGTGACTGAGGAATGTGCATCTTTCTTTTAAATAAAATAATTAAAAACTACACCTGCCCCAACTTTGAAGCTTAATGCCCATGATAGTCGGGCATGTAACGCTGGCTTGAGCCATGCTGTGTGCAAGCTTCTTTCCCCAAGCTTTTTTTCTTTTTTTCTTTCTCCCCCCCCCCCCCCCCCGCTCCTTCCCCCAGTCTTATTATGCAGCAATCCTGCTGTTAGTAGGGGCAACAGTTATGCAATTCTATCAAGGCACCTCACTTTTGACCACCTCATGTCTCATCTCTCCAACTTTCAGTCTGTGTCCCCACAGAGTTCTGCCAACTTGTCACATTCTGAATCTTCTGCACCTCTTTCCTGAAATGCAGTTCTGCCAATACACCTTAATCCAGAACTGCCACATCCTGCCTCTTCCATTCCTAGTGACTACTGCCACAATCAGTTACTTCCACAAAGTTAGTGTTCCTCAATCCACACTTGCTATTCCTGTTTCAGGACAGCTGCTTCAGTAGAGTCTACCATTTCAGAAAGAGTCAGGCTAAATTGTTTGGTGTGCTTATGGTGGGGACTAGAACGAGTGACCACTACACTCATTTTCACTTGTGGGGTCAGACCTTTCTCAGCTAAATAACACAAGTGGTTCCAGCTGCTGTGCAGCTGCAGGGAGTCTGCTTTCCTTCAGTCATTAAAAGCCCTTTCATCAGGGTTTGTTGTTTGTCAGCAGTGGTGTTGAGGTGTGGGGAAAAAAAGCAGATATGCTTTGCGGGAAAATGTAGCTTTATTTTGACCTTTTATCTCTCTCTCAAGTCTGAAGAAGCTGAAACTAGTTTGGGAAGTGATTGAGTGAGCACCTGTGTAAATGCATTTGCAGAAGGGAGAGGTTTAGGTTCTGGTACAGAAATGCTTCCACAAGGTTCCCCTCACATATTGTGAGATTCTGATTTACAAATTGTAAACATTTGAGGGGGGGAGGGATGCCTCTTACGTGCTTTTGTACAGTGCCTCACACAAACTTAAATGGCCTGAAATGTAGCTCAGCATCCATGGCACATTCCCTCCTTGGCTTTTCTGTAGAGACCACCAACAAGGAAGACAATAATGATGTTTAAATTTGAAATGGGGCAAAGCATTAGCACGTATACCATAAGGAACAGTCCTGCACTGCCTGTATGGTGAGGTGGACTTATAGATCTAGCATATACAGACTAAAGCGATGGGTTCACTAAATACCAACAAATGGTCTTTTCATCACTATTGTCTGTGGCAAAGGCTGCTGAGAGGTGTTCACATCACAACTCAAAACTGGACTGAGAACCACCAACTAGACTGAGATTTGAGAACCATCTGTTTTCTTGTAAGCTAACAGATATGTCTGAAGGAAATCGCTTCTAGTTCTCTACCCATGATCTGGGCTAGATTGGAACTTGTATTCTACAAGTAAAAGATTCCACAGCTCTTTAGCAACATCTCCAAGCCATCTAGCCCTTCTGGCCATGCTATTGGATTATTAAATTAGACTACTTCCCATCCCTGATTAGACAGGCTTTATACAGAATTGTATATCCTTGGGGAATTTAATGCAGACTTTTCAACATAATATACTTTTCAATAAAACAACCACCAGCTTGTCTAACTTCTTAGATTGCAAACTCTTTTTGGCAGGATTGGCAGTTTAGGTGTAAGGAAACCACCTTGTATGCCATGTAGGCGCTACTGTAATCCAAAAAAACAATGTTGAAAAGGCTTTTGATTTTGTAAATTGGCTCACTAGAGTTCACTGAAAGTTTTGTTTCTTAGAAGCAGTACTGTGGGGTGGTAGACACTGACTCCATTTTACGGTGCCTCCTGGGTCTTTTGATATCTAGGGCTCTGTCAGTAACATGAAGAATTTGCAATAATGTAACTTTAAGCCAACAGCCCAAGCCATCAGAATGGATTGTGTGAGAAACCTCCTGTTTCTCCTGATGGGAATGGCTTCTGTTTTCAGATGAATGTTTTTATTACCTTTGTTGTACTAATTGTAGATGTACCCTACAATCTTAAAACTCCTTCTTAAAATTTGTATATGTGGGCAGCTGGAAAACCCACAGCAGCCTTAACTGCCTCTGATATTGCAAACTGGTAGAGGGCCTCAACTTCTCCCATCTATAGCTTTGTCTCTGGACCTCAGCATACCTGACTGGGTTGTCATTGGAAAAAATGTTAGCACTCCAGTGGGTACAAATAGACCAATAGCAATTTAGAGAAATTTAAACTAATCTATTATACACTGACAAATAGACATAAATTGGGTCCAATCCTATTATGTTATGAAGACCTGGACCAACATTTAAAAATAATAAAAAGATCAGAAATTCCCAATTGTGATGAGTAATGCAGGAAAGGAATTAACAAACTTCAAGGACTCCTGTAATCTTACCACTAGATACTCATCAAATCCTAGGCAACTGAGCATTTAGAATAAAATTGGCTTGCACCATCCAAATTAAATCCAGTGCAGAGCCCACTTTTGTCAGCTGTTGTTTAAATGAGATTTCTAATCATGCACTTGTACCCAAAGATTCGGCAGCATACAGAATGAATTTGATAGGTTTGTGATATTAGCCTTCGCAGTCCCTTTACAGCTTATTGAACTGATTGAACGATAGACTTAATTTAAAATGAAACTTCAGAGAAGCATCTCTTTTTGGAGTGGTAAAAACCAATCCAAACTAGAATGTTGGGCAATGGTCCCCCCCGCCCCCCACCACTGTAACCTCAAAGCATAAAACAGTCAGACAGCTTTGTAGACAACTGTAACTCCAAGGTGATTATGGTGATGACTCACATTTCCCTGTACGGTATCCAGCTATCAGTGCACTTGAAGAGCTGTGCCTTTGTATAGGCAAGGAGAGTGTCAGTCAGTGCCCTCTTGCCAGCCAGCTCTGGATTGCTGAGCTCATAAGTGCTTTGGGAGCAGGCTGGGATACTGGTGCTTGAGAAAGGGACTTTGTTCCCAGGCTTGAGAGTTGGCAGCAGAGGAAAGGGGTTTTGAGAAGGAAGGGTGAAGTTAAGTATAATATGGGAGAGGGCTATAGATCAATCCCTGCTTGGTCCTTATAAGACTCATTACAGGAGCTCCACTGAAATGTTGTTGCAAATAGTTGCTCTGATTTTTATGTAGAAATTGAAGCCTGACAATATCTACCAATAAACAAGGGAGTATGTAAGAGAGGCCAAGAGGGAACTGGAAAAGTAAGAGGGGCTATTAGAAAAACAGAACCTGCTGAAACTGTAATCTAGTGGTTATTGTAGGGGACTGGCAATCAAGGTTTCTTGGTTCATATCAATTCAGGAAAAGGACCTTGGTATCATTGTGGACAGGTTAATAAAGACCTCTGTTCAACGTGCAGCTGTGGTCAAAAAAGCAAATCTGGTTTTGTGATGGAGAAGAATATGGAAAATATAATGCCATTCTGCAAGTCAATGGTGTAGCCTTACTGGTGTGCAATACTGGTCGCCATATCGGAAAGGATATTGCAGAATTAGAGGGGTTTCAAAGCAGGACAATGAGAATAATTAGGGACCTCAAAAAATTCTCGTATGAAAAGATTGTTTACCTTTAGAAAGAAGAATGAGAGGGGACATGATAGAAGAACATAAAATAACACATTGTAGAGGGGGAACTTCTGTTTTATCTTGTAGCACGAGAACAAGTGGATAGTCAATGAAATTTAAAAATGACCACTTCAGAACTGATAAAAAGGAAATACTTTTTCACAGAACATGTAATTAGTGTGTGGAACTTGGAGGTGACAATTACCTCCACCATAGGATGTCACTGAGGCTGAGCACTTAACAAGGTTTCAGGAGGTACTGGACATCTATATGCATAGCAAGAACACCCAGAGTTGTTATAATATATATGCATATTTTAAAATGTTTTTGAAAGGGATATAAAATGATCTTCAAATGTTAAGGGCTGTTAAAGAGGTCTGTGGTCAATTGTTCTCAGTGTCCACTGAAGGTAGGACAAGAAGTAATTGGTTTAATCTGCCTCAAGGAAGACTTGGGTTAGAAATTGGGAAAAACTTGCTAACGATAAGGATAGTTAGCACTAGAATAGGCTTCAAGGGAGGTTGTGGAATCCCCGTAATTGGAGGTTTTTAAGGACAGGTTAAACAGCTGTCAGGGATGGTCTAGGAATCAAGGCCGGCTCTGGCTTTTTTGCTGCCCTAGGCAAAAAAGCCACCGGCCGCCCTCCCACTTCCCCCCCATTGCAGCAGGGGAGGGCGGGGCCCCGCTCTCCCCGACTGGCTGGAGCGCCCCTCCAGGCACCGCTCCCCTCCAGGCGCCGCCCCAAGCACATGTTTGGTGGGCTGGTGCCTGGAGCCGGCCCTGCTAGGAATACCTGGTCCTGCTTCAGTGCAGGGGAGTGGACTTGATGACCTCTTAAGGTCCCTCTCAGCCCTACCTTTTCCATAATTCTATGATTTCTGTTTCAGGTATTAAACAAATATCTACACAGATTAGCCCGCCTTTGCCTCCTGCAGTGTTTGTTTCACCTTTGGGTGAAGCATGTGGTGTTGGCCACTGTTAGCAACAGGATACTGACTAGACTGATCACAGGTCCATTCAGTACAGCATTTCCTATGTTGGGTTTGTTGTTGGCTTTGCACCTTTATACCCACTCTTTCAGAGGCTGCACACTGAGTGGTGGTATTGTTCAAAGAAAATTGGTGAATGGTGGTTCCTTTCAAAATAAAATAACTTTTAAATCAAATCACTCTTCTAGTGAAAAATCTAGATGGAGGTCAACAATTTAAACTGCATCATTTATCTCTCTAATCTTCAAAAAGTGTCTTGGCTGACTTAAAAACCAAATCAAATATTTTTGTCTCCCTCCTCCCCCACTTTTTTCACCTCCTTCAGTTTTTAATAAGCGACCGTGACAGAGACCCACAATGTAACCTCCACTGCTCCAGGTCCCAGTCCAAACCCCTCTGCGCCTCAGATGGCCGGACGTACGAGTCAATGTGTGACTACCAGAGAGCCAAATGCAGGGACTCAGGTCTGAGTGTGGTGCATCGAGGCAGATGCAAAGGTAAGTGAACCACAAACTGGTTATTTTGAGATTGGGGGGGGGCAGGAGTCCTATTTACTCTAAGGCTGGATTCTGGCATGCTTATGTTAAATAGTACCTTACCCCATGAGTAACCCATTGAAATACCCATGCTCAGCTGAGCATGAATCTGAATCTGGCCCATAAGTAGATGGAGGAAGGGATGATTGCTTACGACTACAGAGGAAGTAGGGAATATTGCTGATCAAGGGACCAATAAGTGTTCATTGAGCTGTGAGAGTTTGGGTACACAGAGAACACAGGAGCGGTCACCGCCCCCCCCCCCCCCCCCCCCCCCGCCCCAAGTGGGTTTGCCCTCCTGTTTGCTTTCTGGAGTAGGTGTACTTTTGGGCATGCATATATGTACGCAAAGACGTGTAACTACAGCAAAGGACTTGGAAGTCTCTTTGCACTGAATTAGCAACATAATGCTTTGTAAGTTTTACACAGCCCTCTTTTTTTGTTCTCTCTGCCACTGTTGCAGCTGTGTGCAAGGGGGCGGGGGAGGAAACTTTCTCTACTTCACAACCCAGCTTCTTTATTCCTTCAGTTTGATCATGCAGTGCAGTCACAATTTCTCACTCATGGAAATCAATCTTTTGTCCTAGAAATGATTAGTCCTGCGGTGAAGTTGAAATAATAGAGCTGTGTCTGTGTTGCCCTAATCGGAGGAAGATGGGCTGTAAGGGAGAACACTTATTTGAGCATAAATATCTTTGGCAATCCAGTTAAAGTGACAAGAAAAACCTATAAAAATCCATGTGAAGGGCAAATGGATTATGTTTAAGCCAGACTTTTTTTTTGTTTTGAAAGCTTTTTCCCTATCCTAAAAATCCCTCTTTAAAGTCTATAATTTAAAACTTTCTGGAATTTATTTCTTCTAAAATGGAGACCCGTTCTGAACTGCGTGTGTTCACATTTAGTTTAGGGGAAGCATGTGAGAGAAGGTAGCATTGAATGTTGAAAAGTAAGGGGTTTTTCCCCACGTTAAGGCTCTCACTAGTAATTTTGAGTTTCCTAAACATTTCTTCGTTCTCTTCTCCCCCCCCTGCTATGAATAAGAACTTATTGGGTCCTCCTTGCCATCCATAGAGCTGGGAGACTAAACCTGTCACATCAAAAGATGAACTGCAAATATTTTAAAGCTTTGTTTTTTCCCTTAACATTCAGAAAATAAATATTGGAATTTCCTGTGGGATGGAAACTCTGAATTTCCCTCTGGCCATATCCTCAGAGTGGGCTCCTGCATTACTTACTATCCAAATGCTGCACCTGATTTCAGAATTAATTTCCTTATGGGTGTTTTGTTTTTGTGGTACTTGTATTTTAGTTCTTCAAACATTAATTATTATTCACAACACCACTGAGATGAGGGGCTGCTATTATCTTGATTTTACAGATGGGGAGGTGATGCAGAGACACTAATGTCAAAGGCTTAAACTAATTTTGAGTGTCCAATTTGAGATGCCTAGAACTTGATTTTTCAGAATACTTTGAACATATGAAGTGTATTTATATAATACTAAGTGCAGCTCCCTTTGACTTCAGTTGCAGCTGTGAGCACTCAGTACTTCTGTGAATCAGACATTGGGTGTCTCAGGTTGGGCACCCAGAACACAAGTAACACAATTAGTGGCCACCTGTGAAAATCCTGATTTGTGACTTGGCCAGCATCACACAGGAACTCCTGTGGCAGAGGCAGGGATAGAATCCAGTTCTTCAGGACAAGGTTCAGTTACCTTAACCATGAAAGCATTCTTTCTCTTCCTGCAATCCCCTCCCTCATTCGCTATTCATCTGCCAATTCTGCAACAAATGAGGCAAGGGTCCTACACACAACAGCTTTTTCACAAGCCTGGTCCAAAGCATAAAGGTGCTAGAGATTGTCAATTAACTTTTGCCCATGTTATTACCTAATCATTTATTTCCCCCCCCCCAATCTCATTCTTACAAATAAATGAAAGAATTTTTTTTGCAGAAACCCCCCCCTCCCCCCCCCCCCCCGCCCCCAAAAAAAAACCAAAACAAAAAAAGGTAGCCAGAGGCAGACACTCAGCATGGAAAACTTTATCCCACACAGCTTCAGTTTGACACAGTTTATAATAGAACTATTTAGAATTTTCATCCCACAGGGAATTCCAAGTTCTTGAAACTTTTGTTGTTGTTCCCCTCCAGCCCCCCAAAGCTCTGGATGAAAAGTCAATCACAGGAGTTTTCATGAAACACAATATTCTGAAAATGGTTTTTGATAAAGTTGATTTTGTTCTATTTTTCTAAATATAGTTGAAACATTTCATTTCAACTTTAATTTTCTATCTTCTAGAAAGGCAGTATGATGACTTCCCACAAATTTTGACAAAATCCATATGTTCCTGTGAAACATTTCAATTTAATTGGCATATTCTAATGGAAGGCTGTGTGGTTAGCTGTGGAACAGTTTATCATGCTGCAGGCCACGGATGAAACTTGTGCAGTCTTTATAGATACACAGATAAGAGTCTAGACCAGTGGTTTCCAACTTTTTTTCACTTGAGAACCTCTTAAAAAATTTCAAATGGAGGTGCGGCCCCCCTTTGGAAATCTTAGACCTAGTCTGCAGACCTCCAAGGGTCTGTGGACCACAGGTCGAATACCACTGTTCTATGGTAACAACCACCTTTCACAGACCCCTTAAGCCTAGTCTGCAGACCCCCCCGCCCCCCGTGTTCCATGGTGGTTTAGACTTTTAGACAGGCACTCTTCACTCTTTTAAATTTCTTCTCATCTTTGGATACATTTGCAGCATTGTCTGTGGCCAAGCTGCATACTAGACATTTGAGGGTTTTTTTCAGTTTGTTATAGCTTTTACTGCTACTTCTTGTAAGTATTCTGCTGTGTGTGCATTTCCTGATGTATCAATTGTTTCTGTAAGGAAGACATTCCCTTCTTCTGTTGTCACACAAGCACATACAACAGGATCATTGTGGACATTGCTCCACCCATCAAGACACAAGTTAACAATTTCACCCTCTAGACCTTTTGCACACTGCTCAATTTCTTTTTCATAAACTTTATCCAGCAATTTGCCTGTGACATCTGCTCTGTTGGGTGGACTGTATCCTGGTCTTAATGACTGAACCATGTTAATGAAGTGTGGGTTCTCAATCATACAGAAAGGAGAGTTTGTTTCATAAACAAACCGGGCAATTTTTTCATCAATTACCTCTTTTTGTAATCTGCTGGTTCTTATCACAAATTTATCTATGGTTGTTTCTGGATGATGGATTTTTTTTTTTTCTCTTTATGCTACAGGTGATATATTGTGGCTATGTGACATACATGATGTGACTGAAACACTATCATTGGCAGATAACTCTGAAATTATAGAAAATGATGGTGATCTTGAAGCTGGATAGTCTTTGGAATCCTGTATGTTGAGAACGGATTCTCCTTAACAAAATAAGTCAATGCAGTTATTTAATTATTATTACCATACTGCTCACTTAGTGAATGCAATGAGTAATACTGACACTCAGTACTACTTTACAGGTGAAATTGTAAACTGAAGATCTGCCTATTTCAGCTATTTATTTTTTGTCACAACTGCATCTAAAATGATAGTACCATAGAGTAACAACTAGTGTGTGTGTGTGTGTGTGTGTGTGTGTGTGTATGTATATACATTTTTTTTCCTCAAACATGAGAATTCAAGAGTAGTCCAGAAGGAAGATAGGCAGTCCTTAAGAAAGAAGTATGAAATAAAAACGTTTACCAACCTGAAGATCCTGCATGTTAAGAGATGTTCCTTTCATCATCTTCAACGCAGCTTCTTCCTGAGAAGGAACACTTCTCATGATGTTTCAATCGGGCAACCAGGCCTTGCATTTCTTTGTTGCACTGTTTGCATTTTGCATGCATGCCTGTCTTACCCACAGGTAGAGGAACTTCATTAAAATATTCCCAAGCTGGTCTCTTTTATGGCCTGCAGCCATTATAGGTTTTCCCTTCTAGTGAGGGAATGGTATGGTAGATCTCAAATCAATGAAGGCTACGCTCAGAAAGACCTCAAGACTTCTAGAATATGCTGCTCAAACAGTTTCACTTCTGTTTCTACTGCCTGTCCCTCTCTTCTCACATTTATCTCCAGACTTCTTCTCCTTGTCCAGATCTATTCTGCCCCCACCAATCTTCTATTCATTGAACTTTTTGAAACTTTGCACTTTTAGAGAGAGGTAAGGGATTGACTGTGTACACAAATTTGCAGAGGGACAATAGGGTTGGTTGTTATTTCTCACTTCTATATATTTGTTTAACAGCAAAAATGGTTTTTAAATAAACATGTTACCTCTGGAGACACAAATCCACAGTTTGAGAACTGCAAAACAAAGCATCTTTGATGGTATCTTCTAGACTGAGCACTGAGTCCCATTGGGTAGATAGAAAGATAAACCTAAATCTATACAGAAGCCCTTGGAACCCCATAAGATTGGGTCCCTAATCCATGAGCTATTGGAGCTCATTTACAAAACTTTCTTAAACATTACATGAATATATTGTCTCATACTATAGAATTAGAATTTATAATCCCTATTCCATGATGAGATATCTTTGAGCTATAGTTTTAATTAAGAGTTTTTTTCCTCAAAAAGCATTTTATCAAAAATCCAATTTAAATTAAAAAAAAATCCAGTTGATTTTTATCCACCCTGCCCAAATGTCATTCTGGCCAGGGATGGTTAGTCTTTTTTTCTGTATACTGGCATGGCTGTCCCATGTTCACAAGAGGTTGTGTATCTTAATATCACTACATAGACTAGCTATGTTTGCAAACAGTATTTGTATAACTGTTACCCCACCCATCCAATTGCACTCCTTTCTGTATGCATGCCTGTATGTATGCTGTATCCATTTGTTCAGTGGGGTCTTAGATTTTACTTGTAAACTCGTTGCTGTGGAGATTCTCTTCTGTACATTTACACTGTGTCTAGTACAATGGAGCCCCAATCCTGATCACTGGCTTTGCAGCACTTTTGTAATACAAATATCAAGCAGAGGATCAGATCTTGCCATCCTTTCCCTGAGAAGCATCCTGGAAATGGGGATCCAGGGTGGGGGCAGTGCTATTCCATATACATAAGGGTGGCCAAATCGGGCTCTGCAGAACAGATATGTTGAGTAAGAAGTTGCAGTTTTCAGTCCTCTTCCAAAACCTACCAGCAGCGCTGTAAGAGTGTTTGGTTTTTTTAAAATAAATGTAAACACTAACGTAATACTGTGCCTTTGCAGGGCAGAGAGAAGTTTTCTTTGTGACCCTGCAGGTGATCAGCGTAAGGCTTATCAAGTATAATATTTGTTTGCCCTTTGTCACAGGATAAGATGGGCCTATGAGGGGTTGAGGTTCCAGATGCTGCCATCACCTGATTCAAGTACTGGCCAGAGTTGAGGCCTTAACTCCTCAGCTCACCCTGTGACACTTTCCTTAGCAACAGGTTGACTGACCTACACCTGATGCAAGAGGGACACATTGCACCTCACCCTCCAACCAGATTGTACTCCATGCAGGAGTCCCTCCCTTAGGAAAGGAAGCTAGCACATCCTTGCCTGAGAGGCTGTTATGAAGGAGGGCAACTTCAGTTGGCCGCTAGTGCTGTATTGGTCTTACTGGCAGAAGCTGCCTGAGGGATGCGCTCAATTGGAACATCCCTGCTGCAGCTTTGGTTACACCCCTTCTGCTGCCAGCATTGCCTGATACTGGACCTGTGCTGGCTAGCTCAAGACCATCCAGAGAGAGAAGGGGTTAGGAGTGTCTTGCACTCCTCTGCCACCTCTGGTGGACCTTCAACCACCGCAGATCTTGACTCTGGCATTTGTTAGTAGAGGCCAATGTCCCCCGGGGTAAATGTAGCCAAATGTTGTTGCCCATAAAATTTGCCACTGCTTATAAAAGTGTGCAGTGGCTGTTACTTTGAGCTCCTGGATCCTCCTTCCAGGAGATGTTAAATTGCCTAATGATTGTATTTCTAATGTATAGATAAAGATAGTAGGAAAACAAGTCTTACCACATGGCTTCCCATTGCATCTTTGCACAGCTGAATGTAGCCCCTAGCTATCTTCTGGGGAGCCAGTTGATACTTAAAATCAGAGTGGATTTTTGGTTCCCTTTGCAGATGCTGGCCAAAGTAAGTGTCGATTAGAGAGGGCTCAGGCACTGGAACAGGCAAAGAAGCCCCAGGAAGCAGTCTTCATTCCAGAATGCAATGAGGATGGATCATTCACACAAGTAAGACTTCAATCAGCCTATGTCTGTTCCTGTTTCCTCTGGCTGGAAGGAATTATCTACTAGTATCTGACCAAAGGGAAATGATGACAAAGGTGGCAAAAATATATAATGGTGGGCAATCACCCCCACTGACTTGGAGTTCAAAAGTCCTTGCCAGTTGATAGCTGTTTGGCCTGCACAAAACATGGTGTTGGTCACTCGTGGACCTAAAGGTCAAGCCTATACATCAGCATCCACCTTCACCATGACTTGTTAATTAGCTCCCTTGTTAAGTCCTTGGTCTGTGCTGGGACTTAACGTGCTATGAGGCTGAGCTCCATGGTCATTCCTCCAGGTTAGGGTTGAGGCTCGCTGACAAGACAGTGTGGGACAAGCTTCCTCTGCTGCTGGTCATACTGTGCCTGTTCTGGCAAAAGAGGGCTAGTCTCCAGAGCTGTCAACTCAGCATCTTTCATTGGCATTATATTCACTTACTTGTAAGGAGGACTAACCCCTGCTTTATTGCTTTAAAATCCTAGATCATGTGGGAGTGAGTGGTGGTGGGCTTTCCAATGTTGTCTTCCAGTAGGTGATGAGGGAACAGGCCCATCCAGTAATGGTGCCTCGAGTATCCAAATATGGGATAGTCTCCTCTTGCTAGACTTGAGTGTGCTAGAATTGCAGATTGTCTAATAGGCAAAAGGAAAATGCCTTAATTTAAGAAGCCGGCTTGGGAAAGTGCCAGCTTGGGAAAGCACCTGCTTCTTACTACTTAAAGCTTGACAACCTTCAGGCTTATGTGAAATGAGTTTGGTAACGACTTATTCACAGTTTCAAAGAGTGACCTTTCCAAATGGTTGAGCAGGGAGTGTTGCTACCAGCTTCCATTGCCATTCCAAACAGTTGCCCTTAACCAGAGGGAAGGCTGCCATAGTGTGGATTTTCAGAGGAAGAGTGGTTTGGGGAGCCTCCAAGGGTAAAAAAAAAAAAAATTGTCTTGATGCTCAGCTCTCTTCCACTCCAGGCACTGGCATGCCTGTTGCAGTGGCCACTCATGGGAGCTGTGTCGCACCCTAGTGGCTAGGGAGGTAAAAGGGAGTCATGTGCAGTTTTCTCCTGAATCTGGGTAAATGGGAGAGGTGAATAGTTTATTGGACTTGGCACAGGGCTCTAAGCCAGCCATTGGAGGCTCCAATTCTGTCTGACCTTGCCCAAGTTGCACAACCCCTCTGCATTAGTTTCCCCATGGGTAAAATTGGGATAGAATTTCCCTGCTACATAGTGAATTAATTACTCCTCAAATCCCTATGGGTATGTCTACACTATGAAATTGGGTCAAATTTATAGAAGCCGGTTTTATAGAAATCGTTTTTATACAGTCGATTGTGTGTGTCCCCACATAAAATGCTCTAAGTGCATTAAGTCGGCGGACCGCGTCCAGAGTACTGAGGCTAGCGTCGACTTCCGGAGCGTTGCACTGTGGGTAGCTATCCCACAGTTCCCGCAGTCTCCGCCGCCCATTGGAATTCTGGGTTGAGATCCCAATGCCTGATGATGCAAAAACAGTGTCGCGGGGGGTTCTGGGTACATGTCGTCAGGCCCCTCCCCTGACGGCAGACAATCGATTCGCGCCTTTTTACCTGGGTTACCTGTGCAGACAACGTACCACGGCAAGCATGGAGCCCGCTCAGCTCAGCTCACCGTCACCATATGTCATTTGGGTGCCGGCAGACGTGGTACTGCATTGCTACACAGCAGCAGCTAATTGCCTTTTGGCAGTAGACGGTGCAGTATGACTGGTAGCCGTCATCGTCGTATTCCTCTGAGTTCGGTCAGAGGCACCTGGGCAGACATGTTTTGTCTCCTGGAGACTCAGTCCTGCCGGCAGTCCTATTGAACTGTCTTGACGATGATGGCTAGCAATCGTAATGCAGCATCTGCCAAGCACCCAGAAGATGCCGATGGCTATCAGTCATGCAGCACCGTCTGCTGCCAGCCTAAGATCTAAAAGATAGATGGGCCAGATTTGTTCTGTATTCATTTGCTTCCCCCTCCCTCCGTGAAATCAACGGCCTGCTAAACCAGGGTTTTGAGTTCAATCTTTGGGGGGGGGCCATTCTGTGTGACAGTTGTTTGTGTTTCTCCCTGATGCACAGCCACCTTTGTTGATTTTAATTCCCTGTAAACCATGTTGTCACTCGCCCCTCCCTCCGTCAGACAATAGTTTCGTGCCTTTTTTCAGCCCAGGCGCCATAGCACTGGGATCATGGAGCCTGCTCAGATCACCGTGGCAATTATGAGCACTATGAACACCACGCGCATTGTCCTGGAGTATATGCAGAGCCAGAACATGCCAAAGCAAAACCAGGCGAGGAGGCGATTGCAGCGCAGCGACGAGAGTGATGAAGAAATTGACATGGACATAGACCTCTCACTAAGTATGGGCCCCAGCAATGTGCAAATCATGGTGTTACTGGGACAGGTTCATGCCGTGGAACGCCAATTCTGGGCCCGGGAAACAAGCACAGACTGGTGGGACCGCATCGTGTTGCAGGTCTGGGACGATTCCCAGTGGCTGCGAAACTTTCGCATGCGTAAGGGCACTTTTATGGAACTTTGTGACTTGCTTTCCCCTGCCCTGAAGCACCAGAATACCAGGATGAGAGCAGCCCTCACTGTTGAGAAGCGAGTGGCGATAGCCCTGTGGAAGCTTGCAACGCCAGACAGCTACCGGTCAGTCGGGAATCAATTTGGAGTGGGCAAATCTACTGTGGGGGCTGCTGTGATCCAAGTAGCCAACGCAATCAAAGACCTGCTGATATCAAGGGTAGTGACTCTGGGAAACATGCAGGTCATAGTGGATGGCTTTGCTCCAATGGGATTCCCTAACTGTGGTGGGGCGATAGAGGGAACCCATATCCCTATCTGGTCACCGGAGCACCAAGCCACCGAGTACATAAACCGCAAGGGGTACTTTTCAATGCTGCTGCAAGCCCTGGTGGATCACAAGGGACGTTTCACTAACATCAATGTGGGATGGCCGGGAAAAGTACATGATGCTCGTGTCTTCAGGAACTCTGGTCTGTTTCAAAAGCTGGAGGAAGGGACTTTCTTCTCGGACCAGAAAATAACCGTTGGGGATGTTGAAATGCCTATAGTTATCCTTGGGGACCCAGCCTACCTCTTAATGCCATGGCTCATGAAGCCGTACACAGGCAGCCTGGACAGTAGTCAGGACCTGTTCAACTATAGGCTGAGCAAGTGCAGAATGGTGGTAGAATGTGCATTTGGACGTTTAAAAGCGCGCTGGCACAGTTTACTGACTCGGATAGACCTCAGCGAAACCAATATTCCAATTGTTATTGCTGCTTGCTGTGCGCTCCACAATATCTGTGAGAGTAAGAGGAGACATTTATGGCGGGGTGGGAGGTTGAGGCAAATCGCCTGGCTGCTGATTACGCACAGCCAGACACCAGGGCGGTTAGAAGAGTACAGCAGGGCGAGGTGCGCATCAGAGAAGCTTTGAAAACCAGTTTTGTGACTGGCCAGGCTACGGTGTGAAACTTCTGTTTGTTTCTCCTTGATTGAAACCCCCCCCCCCCCCCCGGTTCACTCTACTTCCCTGTAAGCTAACCACGCTCTCCTCCCCTCTTCGAGCACCGCTTGCAGAGGCAATAAAGTCATTGTTACTTCACATTCATGCATTCTTTATAAATTCATCACACAACTAGGGGGATAACTGCCAAGGTAGCCCGGGAGGGGTGGGGGAGGAGGGAAGGACAAGGACACACTGCAGTTTAAAACTTTAACTCTTATTGAAGGCCAGCCTTCTGATGCTTGGCCAATCATCTGGGGTGGAGTGGCTGGGTGGCCGGAGGCCCTCCACCGCGTTCTTGGGTGTCTGGGTGAGGAGGCTATGGAACTTGGAGAGGGGGGCTGTTGGTTACACAGGGGCTGTAGCGGCGGCCTCTGCTCCTGCTGCCTTTCCTGCAGCTCAACCATACGCTGGAGCATATCAGTTTGATGCTCCAGCAGCCGGAGCATCGACTCTTGCCTTCTGTCAGCAAGCTGACACCACCTATCCTCTTCAGCCCGCCACTTGCTCTCGTCAGCCCGCGATTCAGCCCGCCACCTCTCCTCTCGTTCATATTGTGCTTTTTTGCACTCTGACATTGACTGCCTCCATGCATTCTGTTGTGCTCTGTCAGCGTGGGAGGACATCTGGAGCTCCGAGAACATATCATCCCGAGTCCGCCATTTTCTCCTTCTAATCTTCAATAGCCTCTGCGAAGGAGAAAGATTTGCAGCTGGTGGAGGAGAAGGGAGAGGTGGTTAAAAAAGACACATTTTAGAGAACAATGGGTACACTCTTTCACGTTAAATTTTGCTGTTCACATTACACAGCACGTGCTTTCGTTACAAGGTCGCATTTTTCCTCTTATATTGAGGGCCTGCCAGTTTGGTGTGAGAGATCACTCACGCAGTGCCAGGCAACAGAATTCGGCTTGCAGGCAGCCATGGTAAGCCAGTCTTTTGGCTTTTTTAACCTTCATAACATGTGGGAATGGTTTCAAACAGCAGCACCCTCATTTCCCATACCAAGCACGCGTTGGGTTGGCCATTTAAAATGGGTTTGCAATGTAAAATGAGGGGCTGCGGTTTCCAGGTTAACATGCAGCACAAACCCAACTACCACCCCCCCCCCACCCACTACTCTCGTAAGATCTCCCCACCCCCCCCCCCCCCCCCCCCCCACCGCGTGGCTAACAGCGGGGAACATTTTTGTTCAGCCGAGCGGGAACGGGCACCTCTGAATGTCCCCTTAATAAAATCACCCCATTTCAACCAGGTGACCGTGAATGATATATATCTCTCCTGAGGATAACAAAGAGAGATAAGGAATGGATGTTGTCTGCATGCCAGCAAACACCGGGACCATACGCTGCCATCCTTTGTTATGCAGTGATTCCACACTACGTGCTACTGGCCTGGCGTGGTAAAGTGTCCTACCATGGCGGACG